TGTGTGTGTGTGTGTGTGTGTGTGTGTGTGTGTGTGTGTGTGTGTGTTCCAGCTGGAGGACTTTGACCTCCCTCCATTGGTCCTGAGGAGGTTCTGTTCTGATCCAGACTCAGTTGTGGACCCGTCCTCCTCTGGAGGGGCTCTGTGGTGTCACGTCCTGCCCAGGTAGGAACAGCTCCACCTGCTGGACACAACGAGACGAACACCTCCGACCAAACCGCTGCTTCTTCTTCTGCATATTAAACAACCGGCTCGTCAGACGACAGTGATCGTTGATAATTCTGTCTGCTTGTGTTGTTCATCTGTTTAGATGATGTGAAGTTAGTATAGAAGAGCATGTTTATGTTGTTAGTTCTGTTCACCTGGTTAGAACACAGAGGCAGAACACAGAGGTAGAACACTACGGACGTTGATGTAAACCTTTAAACAACGTGAGTTCAAAACTTAAACACGTTCATGTCGTCCTCAGAAGTTTTAATACAGCAAAGTTACTTATTATACCTTTAAGTTATTTATTTCAGTATTTTTTGATAATTCTTAAATGAATTAAATTGTTTTTAGCATAAATAATAATCATTAAAATAAGTTTTTAAATAAATGCAAAAATTAAATATGAGAGTAAATAAGTTAGTTAAAATGTAAATAAAGAACCAAATTAAAACAGAAATATACATTTGTGACATTTTATTGATTAATTAATGGCTACATTATTTTGTAGATTAAATTGTTCATTAATTTATTTATTGAGTCTTTTATTTTATGAATTAATTTATTTGGGGTTTTATCAGCTTGTCTCACTTCATGTTGTGTTACTGACTGTGAGCAGCAGGGGGCGCTGCAGCTCCTCTCTACTCATTATGTGTGTGTGTGTGTGTGTGTGTGTGTGTGTGTGTGTGTGTGTGTTCAGCATGAAGAAAGGTCAGATCATCACCGTCACACGACAACTACCCAGAGACGGACCCTTCAGGACCTACAGAGACCTGCAGGACCACTGGAACCACCTGGTACACACACACACACACACGTATATACACACACACACACACACACACATATTTTAATACTGTAGAAAGAAATAAAAACTCGTCCAAATCATAAATATCTCCTGATTTAAATTACAATTGTGTTCATTTAACTCAGTGTTTTAATGAGGAACAGTTCTGATATAAGTAGTGTGTGTGTGTGTGTGTGTGTGTGTGTGTGTGTGTGTGTGTCTGTCTCAGTACGGTTACAGACTCCCAGATGCAGCAGAAGAAGAGGTGGTGTACTGCAGCGTGTACTTCAGGCTGGTGGGGGAGAGACTCTTCACGTATCCTCTCACAGACCATCATGACTGAACCGTGTTAATATCAATCTGACCAATCAGACACCTGACACGAGGAACGGCTGAACAGATGAAGAGGAACATATATGAGATATATACATATATATACATATACATATAGAGACAATATATTTCAGTCTTTCTTACTTTTAAACACTTATTTGTCTGTAATTTAAACTCTGAACCCCAAAAAACCTGCAAGAAAAGCATGTTTTTTTAAACAATCGCCAAAGCTTCACCGTTTATCACAACCAGAATCAGCAGAGAGGAGAACGTTCCTTTAACCCGAGCAGATACCCTCTGAGCTGCGTCCGCCTGCAGCCGGTGCAGCGCTGCCCTCGGGTCGACCCGCAGGGGGCGCTGGGCTCCTTCCTGTCCGATGTCGGGGCGAGACTCAACGGCGTGTGCGGCTTCCCCGCTCGACTGACCGGGAGACCCCGTCACCACGCGGTCGGGCTGAGCGCCGCTGCTACGCTGCAGGTACGAGTACTGAACAGAAGGAGGCAGCAGCGGAGCAGTAGCTCCTGTGCTGTGAGAGGTAACAGCCGTACATGCATCTCATTTAACGTGAGCGTGTGGTAGAGGAGAGGAAAAGAGATTATTGATTATCGTTTCCCACCTTGTAAAATCCTTCACACGGACTCTTTCTTTATGAGCGTAAAGGTGCGACGCCGAGGAGGAGGAGGAGCTCGTTCTCATAACACAGATGTGCGTTTCCTGTTGTCCACAGCTCACTTTAAAAGGAATGTTTCTCTGAACCTTATCCATCATGTGAGGAAGCCTCGTGGAGCACTTTAGTGAACTCTACATGCAGCATGAACCTTATTAATAAGAAATACTACTTTAATACATCTTCTGCTGGTCAAAGGGAATGTTTTGCCCACAAGGTAAAAAAAGCACAATATCAGTTATTAGTTGTAATAAATGAGTTGAGTCGTTATTCTCAAGTGTGTTTCATCGACTCGGATCGATTCAGAGCAACTCAAATATTCATGGTGTTCAGAGGGTTCATGTGGAGGAGACGAGAACAAACTCTAAAGTCGTGTGTTTCTGCTCAGATGAAGCGTCTTCAGATCCTCCTATGTTGATGTTATTTAAGGTTTTAGGTTCTGTGCATGTAAACACTTAAAAAGGTGTTCTTACATACAAACAGAAGCTTTTCCTGCCTCATAAAAACATGTTTAAAGCAGATTTAGTATTTTAAATCACGTCTTCTTAGACCTGCAATTCATGTTTGTGTGTGTCTTCATTTTCTGCTTTTTTATGTTCTTCTGAAAACATCGTCTTCTCCTTTCTCCTCTTCCTCCTCAGGTGTTTGGTGGTGAGCAGATCAACTTGAGCACCTCCTCCTCCTCCATCAGGCCGGTCCTCACCCAGCTTCCTCCTCCCCGACCCGTGAAGCCCTATTTTGGGTCTCAGCCTCCAGCCTGGACCCCTTTCACCCAGCAGGACGGAGCCCAGGGGCTTCTGGGTAACAGTCTGACACAAAGTCAAGGCTGCAGAGGAGACCCTTCATCATCATCATCATCCTCCTTCTCCTCACTCTTCCAGACAGCTTCATCCCTCTCCTCCTCATCCTCATCCTCCTCCTCCGTCCTCCCTCCTCTTCCTCCTCCTCCTCCAATCTTTGCTCCCAAACTGGTTCCCATCTTCAAGAACAAGTGTCCGTTGCGACACATCAACGTGGCCGTGCTGAGACTCCAGAAGCAGAGGGAGCAGCTGATTGGAGGAGGGGAGGAGAGGGGGAGGGTGACCCTACCTGCCTTCAGGATGAAGACCTCCACCACCACCACCGCTTCTTCTTCTTCGTCTGTTTCTTCTCTGTCGGTCGCGTCCCTCACGCTTCCTCCTCCGTTCAACCGTCGTCCTAAAGCTGCTCCTCAGCCAGCGGGTCACATCGGACTCAAACGCATCACCAGCCTCAGTCCTGCATCCGAGTCCAGACCTGGATTCCTCCTGGCTCCACAGCCGGAGACCACCAAATCCAAGACCAGCTCCAAGACCAGCGTGAAGTCCAGCTCTGACACAAATACCTCCAACAAACGTCCTCCACCTTCTGACATCTCCAACAAACATTCTCCACCTTCTGACATCTCCTTCAAACATCCTCCACCTTCTGACATCTCCAACAAACATTCTCCACCTTCTGACATCTCCAACAAACGTCCTCCACCTTCTGACATCTCCTTCAAACATCCTCCACCTTCTGACATCTCCTTCAAACATCCTCCACCTTCTGACATCTCCTTCAAACGTCCTCCAGCTGCTCCACCTTCTGACATCTCCAACAAACGTCCTCCAGCTGCTCCACCTTCTGATGCCTCCTTCAAAGACTCCTCCAGCAGCAGCAGACGGGTGAGTCCAGTAGAGTCATAAAACCTGATTGGATGAATCATTTTCTTGCTATTTATAATTGAGAATCGTCCAGATGTTAAATCATGTTTAGCTTCTAACAGCAGCTCCTCACTGTGTCGGTGTTTTACGAGAGGTGTCGACTGCTGTCACGATCTAAACTCCCCCAACAGTTCACTGAGTTACTATCCGCCGTCTGACTCTTCTTTATTTAAAGTCGGTCTTTAAATGGAAACTGAAGTAGAGCTTTTGTTCTAAACGACTAAGATCTTTGTAGTTATTTGGTCCTTTTTTGTGATTTTGTTTTGCCGAATGACTTATTTCCAATAAACTGTGAACACGTCTCTGTTAAACACAATAATTTAAAATGGTGCTTTTGTGTGATTCTTTGTGGAGAAACTCCATTATATCAACTAATCGATTAGTTGACAAAAATCGTGCGAGTTTAATTTCTTGTTTCCTGACTTCCCCGTGTTGTTTTGTGTTTCAGAGAGTTGTGTTTGAGGAGTTAAAGCCGAAGAAACCCAGATCATCGATACGAGACGTGGACGTGGAGCAAATGGCCAGAAGCAACCAGGTCAGGAGACGCACTGAACTCTTTCTTATCTTCCTCTGTCTGTTGTTCTTTCCTCTTCTTCCTCACAACTCTTACTTCATCAAGTCTGAGACGTGCTACCCTGGTTATTTTTTTTATTTGGTAACTTTGGTAATTTGAGTTTTCCTCTGGCACTACCTTCAGGACAAACTGGACAAAACAAATTGTCAAGAAATTTTACTTTTTGTGTTGATGTCATTGTGAGAGTCAACAAAGTTTTCCTCATTATTTCTTTGTGGACTTCCATGTCTGAGATGTACCATAGGCTGTTTCTAGGAAGCGGACTTGGTTTTTGTATGTCGCCATCTTGGTATTTGTATGTCGCCGTCTTGGTATTTGTATGTCGCCGTCTTGGTTTTTGTATGTCGCCGTCTTGGTATTTGTCTGTCGGCGTCTTGGTTTTTGTATGTCGGTTGTTGTTCTTCGAGTACGTCTGGACCTTGAGAATAGAGAAATCTGGTGTGTAATGTAAAAGAAGAGACTTGAGAAGTGATGTATTTCCAGTGTGTCCACTCTTACTGTAGGTGCTTCCTCATAAACATGCTTTAGAAGAGGCCGCATACATTACCGTGATGTATTAGAGTGAGTTAGCGTGATGAATAGCTCACACACACACACACACACACACATACGGTTCTGTCGGTTTCCTTACAAACATCCTCTGAGAGGACCGTTACGGTGATGGATGGTCAGCAGGAGGCGGAGCTCCACCGGGAGCTCAGCACTTTAATAACAACATTCATCAGTTTTACAGCTCCACCCTGCAACTCCTCAAGAACAATACTACTCTATGACGGTTATTTACACAGCTTCTCCTTCTGGACAAATTGTTCCTCGCTAGTTTTTACAAAACAGTTTTATAGGTGAGCTGCTGCAGACAGACTCTCTACTTGTGTTTAAAGTCTCCTGAACTCATTTCCCTCCACTCATTATCAGATATTCTTGTTAAATGTGAATGTTTAAATGTCAGATCCAACTTTAAACCAACTAGCAATCACAGAAGAGAATACAAGACAGAATGAAATCAACAGTTTATAATCTAAATGATCACCTCCTTCATGTTCGTGAGTTTAGTCTCTCTTCTTTAAACTCTTATTATTCTGTCTTGCTTCTCACCACATCATCTGCATGTCCGCAGTATTAGCATGTAGCATGTAGCATGTTTTCTCCTCCCCGTCTGATGTGTTTGCAGGAGCGTTGCGTTTTACTCCCACAGACAGATTTCAGCGTTCACAGCTAAACTTATGAAAAAACGATGACGTAGATGCCTGCGTTCGCTACTTGATTGGTTGTTAGCAGTCACGACGTGTCCTTCCCCGATCACGTGACCCTTTCCCCAGAACAACAGCCTTGATTACCGATCGACTGCCAGGTTAATTCAACATGGAGAACTGACTACAGGTGTTGCTGACCTCGTTGTCTTTACTAGAAGTTGTTCAGTTAAAGTCTGCATTATTACGGAGGAAGCAGCTGTTAGTGGAGCGATTAGTGAGCAGCGTGTCCAGCGGCGGCACAACTATCTCAACGTTCACAAAGAAACTGTAAAGGAACAAAAGCTTAAACGCTCTCTAGTACGACAGAGACTTCAGCTCTCTCACTGGCCTCTCAGGGCTTCATCTCTTTGTCTCTCTCTCTTCATCTCTCTGTTCTCTCTCTCTTCATCTCTCTG